GGAGAAATTCTTCATCAGACACTGAAAACAATTCTGCGACTTTGCTCAATGATGTGCGAACTTGGCGCTATATTTCAAATTTCAGTGTTTTTGGTTTGATTATATTATTGAATTAAATGTATTATTATATTATTCTTTTTTATGATTATTTATTAAATTATAATTTATGATTTTGTGTTTCAAATTTTATCATACCCGGGATGTTTAATAGACTCTTGTTCGGACAGATTTCAGTGAGTTATTCCTAAAAATTACAGCCTACAATAAAAAAACTACATATTTCCATGCAAAATAATGGTACCGCTTTCAGCACCAAAAATCTGAAATAATCATACCGTCAGGGAGGTTAAAGAAACATTATCACTTTTCCCGTTCAGCATGAAGCGAAAGTGTCTGTACATAGCCCTCCCACACACAGGTCTTTATTCTTAGGCCTCATGCACACAGAATATTTTTTTTAACTCTCCTAGAAGCCAGCACATTTTTGTAGGAAAAAATGACTGATGCTTGTAAATGCATCTAACGCTTAGGTGCTCATTCATTTCATTGCCCAGAATAAATAATTTATTTTGACCATTGAAATAAATTAACGCTCAAGCACTAAACGCACCTAGCATTTAGGTGCGTTTAGGTGCAAATACTGTAAGTGCATCAAGCTTTTTTTCATTCAAAACACAACTGCTCCAATGAGATTGATCCAAAACCATGATAGGTTCCCTTTAACAGGTTTAAAACCGTTTTTGCCTAAGATGCACATGCACAATCAAGTCTTGGGCAAAAAAAAAGATGTGCATTCATTTTTGCATTGACAACCCTCCCAGCTGAGAGGAAACCTGTAGTGAACCATGTTTGCAGAGATGGAATTCATGTACCTACTTTAGAGGGAATAATAAACAAAACCTAACAAATGAGCATCAGTGCATCCTATCCTGCAGAATTCTGATGGTTTGCTATTTGTTCTACAATGTCGTGTCACAGCAAGCCTGCTGATGCTCCCTAGCGGGCACTGTATGTACAATGGTGGGTTCCAGTGTGATCTAAAAGGGTAGTTATCTAAGGAATACATCATCCTCATCTATGTCCAACCTAATAGGTAATGTCCATCACTGAAAAATGTTAAAGATGAATTCCAGGTATGGAAACTTCTCCTTACATGAACACTTGACCTGGGTGTCATGCAGAGGACATTTTTCATTTCCTTAATGAATGCAAAGTGTTCTCTGATTGGATGAGGTGAAGATCATGACATCACCGCCCGTCTCTCCATCTTGTCCCATTAGAGAATTTGTTTTGTGCATTTAGATCTGTTTTGTATATTCAGATTTGTTTTGTATACTGTTTCTTTTCAAATCGATTCGGAATTTGAAATTCAAATTACGACATTCGAAATGAAAATTTCTGAAGATGGCTATATTTGTTTAATTTTATTCTATTCTATTCTAATCTATTCTATTCTAATATGTTCTATTCTGTTCTATTCTCTTTTATTCTATTCTTTTATTTTCTATTCTATTCAGTTCTATTCCTTTATTTTTTTATTTTAATCTACGCTATTCTTTTATTTTCTGTTCTATTCTATTCTGTTCTATTATATTCTTTTATTTTCTGTTCTATTCTTCTTTAATATTCTACTCTATTCTGTTTTATTCTATTCAAATGTTTACTGTTCTATTCTATAAATCAGAACTACAGTAAGGTAAAAAAGTGATATATGATGATGATTCCATCACTTTTTTACATTACTGTAGTTCTTGAAATATGTTTCCATTTCAAACTCAAATCAATTTTCAAATTATAATTTATTTTCTAATTTGAATTTATTTTCAAATTCATTTTTGAATTTGAATTCAGATAACTCGTTTCATTATAATTTATTCTGGATTCACTTAAATTCGTTACTATTGTGATTCAGACATTCAGATTCATCCAAATCTCCAAATAACGAAAATTTCATCTGAATTTTGATTAGGAAACGTATCACACATGTTTAGCACAGAGCAAGCGACCTCCTGTGTTCACAATGTAGCAGGGCAGCTGCTTGGCACAGGACCCAGAAGCTAGGGGAGATCACTGTAGTAGTGATGTCTACTAAATGATTTCCAGCCTACACCAAGATCCCACAGGTATGGCACATATATACTTATATACTTACATTGGTCCAAGCCAGACCAGAGAAACTATATAAATATTTCCTTACCTGGAATTCTACTCTAGAGCAGACACCATAAAAAGCCCACAATATTTTTATTAGCCACACAATGCTCCCTTCTGTGTCTCTTTGAATCTAGCGCCATATTACTAGGAGTCCTTCAAACTGCATCTTGCTATTGTGCCTTAGTGAGCAGTAGAACAGGGAAACGTCAGCTGGTGAAGTTTAGTCCTGAGGTCAGGGAAAGTCAGATACCTAGTAACAAAGGGGAATACATTTCAGAGAGGTACACTAAGTGGGGTTTCTAACCTATGAAGGCAACAGTTGAAATCTTGTGATGTCCTTTCACAGGACTTTACATTAAAGTGTTACTAAACCCACAACAGTAAAATCAGTCTGTATATGCAGTAAAGCATGCTTGTTACACTCACTGTGGAAACTAAGAGGTTAATTCTCTGCATTGTGTAAAAATGCTGTTTGATCCTGACTTCTCTTATTCTCCCCTTCTTCCAGTGTCCCCCTCTTATCTCCTGATAAGACATACCGTGTGGAGTCACTCTGCACATGCTCAGTTTGGTGTGTATTGCTAGAGAGGTTTTTTTTTTTCTTGGGAGAGTGAATATGATTAGCACAGGGCCAATCAGCGCTGTCCAGACAGAGGTCAGGTGTTCTGCATCCTCCTAGATCAAAATGAAAACTCCTCCTACAAGCTTTAACCAGTGCTCAGCTGGCCACTGATAGAAGTCACAAGACTGCTCTAACTGCTGATGAGAAAAGGTATTTAGCAGTTTATATTTTACTAAAATAATTGCACTTTCATGTTCTGTGTACGGTGGGAGACTAGGTAGGGTGAATGCGCGGTCCTGGGTTTAGTAACACTTTAAACGCAATGGCAGAGTCAGCAGGGGAGTCAACTTTTTATGACAATACTGCTGAGTGAACAGGGATATACATTTTACATGTGTTTTGAATAGCATAAGTCATAAGGCAGAAGTAGAAATGGTTTTGTAACTTATATTGACATTTGGTACACTTTACAACTGACCACTGATAGCTTAACTTGGCTAAGGTGTCTGAGGACTGTGACAATGGGAAATGTGATCTATTGCTACTTCCCCAGTGTGCTAGTTTCTATTTCTGGTAATCTGTGTTGTTTTAACTGACATGTCACGACCCTAAAAATTTTGATCTTCAGTTCTAATGGTGGCAACCAGTGTAGAGATATTTCATTGACAATCATACATAGGTCAGAAGTGTTCAAGCCAATTTATTTCACACATACGCCTGGTTCACACTAGCTTGCACACTGTGGGCTGGTTGCAGGTGTGGACATTGATTCCTGCACCTGCAATAACTACGAATGCCCCCCCTCAATGCATCTCGCCCTACAGCGTGATTGTGGGTGTCGGAACTGCAAGGAACCCGCATGCCTTTTTAGAGAGTTGCATGCACCTTTCACATGAATGGGCTACTGTGCCCAAACAAACGCTAGCGTGAACAGAGCCTGAAGAACACAGTGCCAAAAAGATAGCACCAAAAGATACTGTGCCATAAAAGCAACACCAGCAGTAAGCAACAAGAGATACTGTGCCATAAAAGCAACACCAGCAGTAAGCACCAAGAGATACTGTGCCATAAAAGCAACACCAGCAGTAAGCAACAAGAGATACTGTGCCATAAAAGCAACACCAGCAGTAAGCAACAAGAGATACTGTGCCATAAAAGCAACACCAGCAGTAAGGAACAAGAGATACTGTGCCATAAAAGCAACACCAGCAGTAAGCAACAAGATACTGTGCCATAAAAGCAAGCAGCAGTAAACAACAAGAGATACTGTGCCATAAAAGCAACACCAGCAATAAGCACCAAGAGATACTGTGCCATAAAAGCAAGCAGCAGTAAGCAAAGTACAAGCAACAGTCATACCAATATGTTTCAGTTGTAACCATTGTAGTCTTTCATTTAAAAGGCACCAATTCATTTTAGAACTTTTTTGGCATATGTGCGATTGCCACCAGAGCTCACACTAATGTATTTCACTCTCAAACCCAGTTCACATATTGAGTAGCAGGCAGAGACGGGCTAACAACTCATGGGGCCCCTGGGTGAAAAATGGATGTAAACCAATGTAAACGGATGAAAAACAAATTAAAAAACATTAAAAATGGATGTAAACAGATGAAAAAATGGATGTAAACGGATGAACAAACGTATGTAACCTGAACTGAAGAAAAAAAAAAAACGGAACGTCCGTATGAAAGGACCCTTATATGACAGATCACCTGGGGCCTTTAAAAAAAAGGAGAAGATCTCAAATAAAATATGAAACTAAACCTTCCAATCCTTTACAGCCAAAGAAGATGCCATCTTAGCCTCTGCTTGATCTGCAATTGCCATGGTGCTGCACATGTCATCAGTTATGACACCAACCGTTTGATGACTTGATAGTTCAGTTGACAGCACAAGCAACTGTGTCAGTTAACATTCATAGCATGCCTTGATGTAACTGTTTTGGAAAACAGTTACATTTGGTTTAGGTCCTCTTTATAGCGATGTTAAACCCCAAACCAAATGTAATATATTGCAACTTACCAATTATTAACCACTTGCCTACCGGGCACTTATACCATCCTTCCTGCCCAGGACAATGTTCAGATTTCAGTGCTGTCGCTCTTTGAATGACAGTTGCGTGGTCATGCAACATTGTACCCATATGAAATTTTTATAATTTTTTTCACACAAATAGAGCTTTCTTTTGGTGGCATTTAAATGCCACTGGGTGTTTTATTTTTTGCGCTATAAACAGAAAAAGAGCAAAACATTTGAAAAAAAAAAGTTTTCTTTGTTTCTATTATAAAATTTTACAAACAGGTAATTTTTCTCCTTCATTGATGTCGTTGATGAGGCTGCACTGATGGGAACTGTTAGGTGCCACTGATGGGCACTGATAGGTGGCACTGATGAGGTGGCACAGATAGGTAGCACTGATGGGCATTGATAGGCAGCACTGATAGGCAGCACTGATAGGCGGCACTGAGCTGGCACTGATGATGATGCACTGATTTGGAGCAATGATTGGTACTGATAGGCAGGCACTGATGGGAATTGACAGACTGATGGCACTGACTGGTGGCACTGCTGGGCACTGACTGGCGGAACTGATGGGTTGCACTGCTGGGCAGCACTGATGGTTGGCACTGATGGGGGGGCACTGATGTGCACACGTGGGTGGCACTGCTGGGCACTGATGGCACAGGTGGCTGGCACTGCTTGGCACTTGTGGATGGCACTGCTGGGCACACTGGTGGGTGGCACTGCTGGGCACTGATCATCAGGGCACTGATCAGTGCCCTGACGATCAGTGCCGATCTGTTTTCTGACAATTGCCAATTATTGGCAACTGCATTTACCCAGTGATCTGCTGTGTCATTGGACACAGCTGATCACGTAGTAAAAGGCCGCTGTGATTGCCTTTTACCACATCACGTGGTCAGCTGTGTCTGTGGGACAGTGATCATGGAGATCGCTAGGGGCGCGCCACTGGGGGCGCGCAGGAGGGCGCATTCTGGAAGGACTTCATTTAACTACTTTTTCAACCGTGCTATAGCCAAATGACGGCTACAGCGCGGTTGGCAAGTGGTTAAATGTGGTAGCTGTATCAGTTTTCTTTTTTTTAGGCTTTCTTTCCTCTGTTTTCACCTGGTGATCTGGCCAGTAAAACAACTCCGGTATTAGAGTGCTTCCACTCTGGATGAATGAGCACAGGGGGCACCTTTGTCTGTTTAGGTGGAGGGGATTGTTTGAATACAAGCAGATCTAAACACACTAAATAAATTGAAGCCAAACTCCAGCTAATAGTTTATCCCAAACCAGAAAAAAGTTTTTTGGTTCTGATTGGGATAAAGGTTTTGCATAAATAAAAGCTGATCACTGTAAGCACCCCTTTCAGTGGTAAATGTTTTGTCTCAGCACTCTAACTTATCCATTTCCAGGAGAGTTTGTTCTGTTGAAAACCAACTTACTGGCTGGATCACCAGATGAAAATAAAGGAAAAAAGCCTAAAAAAGAAAACAAATGCAGCCACCACATTGAATTGGTAATCTGCAATATAATGTTTGCTTTTGGGTTTAATACCACTTTAAGTGCTTGGTAGCATAGAATTGAATCCACTAGAACTGGTAAAGTGGCATGAAGGAATGCTAATGCTGGTGATGTCATTAAGCTCAATTCACAAAGCTGTACGCAAATATAAGGATTTTTATATTCAGCTATGTGAATGAAATTTTAAAATCACATTGGACTGAAAATAAGAATCCTTGTCCTGGTGTTTTGGGTGTGCATGTCAGCTCTGTTAAAGTGCATGTGATAGCGAGTGACTTCGGAGACATGGCAGGAAGCAGTAGTTTACCACTTGCTGATACACCATATTGTATTTGCTTGGAAAGTCCCCAACCAGCTTTGCCAGGTGGCACCACTGACACTACTCAGTGAACACTTAAGACTGCAATCCAGGAAGATAAAAAAAAAGACACAAATGAATGCAGCTCTGCAATCATTAATACATCCTTAAATATGCTCTTTTTAATGTAAGTAATGTAAGTACACGAATTTGGCTTGAGGTCTCTGTACAACAGAGCTCAGACTGAGATAGGGAGTTGCAGCACAAGGAGCCAATATGTGATGCTGCAGTGCGATGCACATGCTGATAGGAGGGGAGAGCAGAGTGACAGAGTGGCATTACTGTTCCAGTTATGTCACATGGCTGGAGTAGGGACAAGAAGTGTTACTGAACTGCAGCAGAGAAAAGTCTCCTTTCCTGCCAGACGGAAATGCATGCAGTCTGTCTGCGTTCTGAGACGTGCATCAGTCTGGGACAGATATATAAGCAGGGATGTGCAGGAATATCTGTGATGATCCATTCAACTGTCCACCTACAACCAGTTATAGCCATGGCTAACTTGTGTGATCATCTTTGTGAACTGACACCACAGGCTTTTTCCCTTTATTTTCTCAGGGTGATCTGTCCAGTAACACACTTCCTTTCTTAGCGTGTCTCACTGTGGATGGAGGAGCACCAGAGACACCTTAGGAAATCTGGGATGAGGGTACACAGGGATGGTGGTACACTTAGATCCACTAGCAGATTTAGAGGGACATGACTAATAAATAAAAGCTAACACTTTTTAGACAGTTACAGCAACAGTTTGTGATTGTAAGCACTCCTGTCAGTGCTAAATGGCTTGTCTCAACGCTCTTTTCTGTAGTAAAGAGAAAGCCGCACTCCCGGCCTAACCAGAGTGTGAATATTAACCAGTTCCCGACTGGAATATAGCCCAAAGACAGCTACATGGATGTCCTCCCAGAATCGTGTCCTCCACGTGCCCCCTGGGGCGCGCACTGCTGCGATCTGTGATCACTGTGTCCTTTGGACACAGCTGATCACATGGCTATGGAACGAGCCAATCACAGCTGATTTTACCATGTGACTAGCTGTGTCCAATCACAGCTGATCACTGGGTAAATAGGAAATGCCAGTCATCGGCAGTCCTCTCCTCACGCTGACAGCACATGAGGAGAGGAGAGAGCTGGTAAGCGGGATTTTGCAGGGTGACATCTACACGGATCAGTGTCCTGGTGATTAGTGTAGCCCCATTAGTGTGGCCAATAGTGCCGATCAGTGCCCATCTGTGCTGGCAATTAGTGCCTATCAATTAATCTGTGCCGTCTCTCAGTGCCACCCATCAGTGCCCATCAGTTAATCAGTGCCACCCATCAGTGATGCCCATTAGTGCCAGCTAACAGTGCCTATCAGTGCCACCTATCAGTGCCCATTCAGTGCCACCTAACAGTGCCCATCAGTGCCACCTATCAATGCCCATCAGTGCAACCTAACAGTGTCCATCAGTGCCACCTATCAGTGTCCATCAGTGCTGCCTAACAGTGCTCATCAGTGTCACCTACCAGTGCCCATCAGTGCCGCCTAACAGTGCCCATCAGTGCTGCCCATCCATGCTGCCTAACAGTGCCCATCAGTGCAGCCTCATCAGTGCCCATCAGTGCAGCCTATCAGTGCCCATCAGTGACTCCTCATCAGTGTTCATCAGTCCAGCCTATCAGTGCCCATCAGTGAAGGAGAAAAGTTACTTATTTACAAAACTTTAAAACAGAAACTAAGAAAAACTTTTTTTTTTCAAAATGTTTGTCCTTTTTTAGCTTGTTTAGCAAAAAATAAATACCACAGTGGTGATAAAATGCCACCTAAAGAAAGCTCTATTTGTCTCAAAAAAATGATAAAAATTTAGTTTGGGTACAGTGTTGCATGACCACAGAATTGTCATTCAAATTATGAGAGCTGAAAAAAATTGGTCTGGGCAGGAAGGGGATAACAGTGCCCGGTAGGCAAGTAGTTAATGTAAAACAGCCTCAGATAGCTCTCCTACACAGGCCATGCCCCTCTGATGCCTTTCTCCTTTGCTTCATGTCCCATAGCCAGAACAGTAAGTGAGAGGAAATCCCTCCAAAGAGAGAGAAATACCTGGTTGTCACCAGGGTCACCAAAACTAGTGTTCCCACTGGAAGATTTACTGATCTAGTGATAACCCAGAATTTAAGATTTTCTTTTACTTTCACTTTTGGCGATAATGGTAAACTGGACAAATTTATTTCAGGTACTTATATAGCGCTGTCAATTTACGCAGCGCTTTACATATATATTGTACATTCACATCAGTCCTTAACCCTCAAGGGGTGTACAATCTAAGGTCCCCAACTCACATTCATACATACACATACTAGGGACAATTTAGACAGGATCCAATTAACCTACCAGCAGTGTGGGAAGAAACTGGAGTACCCGGAGGAAACCCACGCAGGCACAAGGAGAGCATGCAAACTCCAGGCAGGTGGTGCCAAGGCTAGGATTCAAACCAACGACCCTAGTACTGCCAGGCAGAAGTTCTATCCATTTAGCCACTGTGCTGCCAGAGAGAGGATTACTCTTCCCTTCAGCCACTTGCCACCTTTCTTGGGTCTTCCACCAAGAAGCCAAGAAAATGTGACCTGTCGCATCAGAAGCACTATGAAGAGTGGGAGGATCTCTTCTGTGATGTATAAAACCAGATTTCATCACTTTTTGTTTCGGTTTCTATGATTACTAGCCACTACAGGGATAGTAAAGCAGCCGATCACACCAATTTTGGGTTGATCGGCTGCTTTGGAGGGCAGAGGAGAGATATGGGGTATAATAGACTCCAGATCTCTTCATAAGGAGGAACCTGTCACTGCCTCTGCTATCACAAGCAATGTTGTTCATCCCTCATTATAGCAATAAAGTTGAATATAAAAGAATATAAAATAATAAAGAAACAGTGTAAAAAAACTAAATTTGAATTAAATAAATAAATTAATGCATTTAAAAAAATTGTTTTAAAAAATCCCCTCGCCTTTCTTCTGTGCTCATGCAGAAACATGAACATGCACATGCATACAGTATGTAAACAATGATCACATCAAACATGTGAGATATCTCTGCAAACATTATAGCAGGGGTGGATTGACCATTCCGGTGCACTGCCCGAGGGCCCGCTGTCAGTAGGGGGCCCCATGAGATGCCCCTGGTACCTTTTATAGGCTTTTTTAGGTGTGGTTTGAGTGTGGGTGAGGACACAGGGGCCCCATGATCCCCTATTGCCCGGGGGCCCCATGAGTTGTCAGTCTGCCCCTGCATTATAGCAATAGTTCTATACCTCCAGTAAATCTAAACTGGTGACCTGTAAAACGTTGCCTAAAGATGATTTAATGTACCATAATTTGTTGGCATTCCATGGGTGTGTGCAAGTTTAAAGCCTGACATGTTAGGTATCTATTTACTCAACATAAAATCTTCTTTTATATTTTACCAAATAATTGGGTATTTTATGTGGGGGTTCTAAGTAATTTCCTAGGAAAGAAATGCAGATTTGTACATGTATAGTGTTAATCCCGTAGGAATACTGTCCAAGTCTTCTCAAAAAGCTTTGTCCCACAGCCAGGCACATTCGCCAGTTTCTTCAATACCCAGTCTAGGGGTGTTGTTTTTATTTTTTAGAACTTGGATAGGGATGGAAAATTAAGTAGGATACTCAAGAAATAAGAACTATGTAAAGTTGAGGACTTTAAGTATTCTCTTGGATAAGCTATGACAAAGAACGTGCTTGAAGCAAACAGTAGACTTCAGCTTTAAGGC